TTAATTCCATGAGTTGAAAATGAAACAGGTTTTTCCAAAGAGTTGGTTAACAACCCTTATAAATATAATCAGACTTTTGGCTTATCCAAAATAAAAATAAAAATAATATAATCAGACTTTTCGTACCCTCTTTGCCTTGTTAATAATAAATCGCCACATGCATCCAAAGTCAGCTAAATTTATAATTTCCGTGGAATATGCTTATTCACCTTGTCAATATTTTAACCACAGATCTCTCCAAAATAAGGGTGGTTTAGCTTCTTGCCATGACAATATTTTAGCCCCTGGTTTATTGTCATTTTCGATCTATGTAGTGCATACTCTCATAATTTTTACCAGAAAATCACCAAATAAGCGCGATTATAAATTTCTAGAGTAAATTTTCTTAAATAAAACTTGTATTAGGTGATAATTTTAAATCAACAAAAAGATCATTTCCACTTTATGGAGAGGCCAATGGCAAGAAGAGCAGGTGATGTCCCAAGGATTGGGTGATTGCACATCGAATACAATGGAAAACCGCTCAATACACAACCAAGACTTCCAACGTAACCTTAAGAATAAAGCAAATTTCTTTGATTGAGGAATTCGGTTTGCTTGTTCTAAACAAAAGAATCCAGGTCACTCAAAAGAGAAGTAACAACAGATTTGAATAAATAAAGTAAAAGATATGAAAAAACCATAAATTAGGTGATATATTTATATAAAATTAAACCTTAATTTAATTCCCTCGTCAGCTTTGAATATGGTATATGATCATGTAGACTACTCCAAGGGCACCAACAGTTTTCCAAAAGCTGGCTTCTTCTATATAATTATACCACTAGACCACTACCCTCTTTGAAACCTAATTATTCCCTCAATATAAATACCTTGTCGTGGAAAATTTCAGCATCAATCATAATTTCTCAGGAAGAAGATGGATTATGGGACTAAAAAAGGCGGTGTAGGGAGAGAAGCTTCTTTGATGAAAGGTGATGGCTTCTTCTCCAACAGGATCCTCTCAAGGAATTCTTCTGTGGGACGTTCTTCAAGGATATATTACAGGAGTCCTGAAGGGGTGCCCTTTAATTGGGAAATGCAGCCGGGAACGCCAAAGGATCCGCCCAAGGAAGATAATCTCCCAACCCTCAGCCCTCCACCCGCGATGCTCAGCCTAGGGCTGCCTAAACCATGTATCACCATCGAAGAGCCCAAGCCTCCGAAGCTACTACGGTTCATGTTTTGGAAACGAAGGGAGAAAGGTGATCGGGATAAGAAGCTTCAACAGGGACCTAAGGCAGGTAGTGATGATTTAGATGCTACGGAGTCGGAGAAGTACTTTGAAACTTGTAGCTTTGATGGTGAATTTATGGCATCTCCACCCCGTGCTTCCACCTGTTCTTCTTCTTCATCTCTTACCTTATCTCACGGTCGTGATTCTGCTCGACTGTCGAGTTTTCGGGGTCCAACCAGGGATTCAGTAGGAGGATTTTATGGCTGTGGTCCATGGAAATTCTCTTGTGTAAATATTGTTCGTGCAGCAAGACGATGATGATGTAAAAATAAGTGTTTTAATGTACGAGATTGATCGGTATGTACTATAATGCTATTGTGTCCTTGTAAAGCAAAATCAATTGTTAGCATTAAATTTTAACCCCTTATATGCCTTTATTTAGGAGGCCTAGGTGGTTTCTGACCTTTTTTCTTTTTGGTCAATGCTCACAAAAGATTATGATATAAGTATATGGTAAATTAAGGAAAAAAATATTATATTATAATTTTTTTTTTGAAAGGCAAAATATATTAATGGAGCTCAAGGGGTACTTGAACCCATTTACAACTATAGTAATTCAAAATCCAAATAGAGGTTTTAAACAAGAGATACCTCTACTTGGTTAATTACTACATA